TTTTTTTTAAAAGATGACCGGTAAGGGGATCTCAACCCTTGGCTTGGTGTTGTCAGCACCACGCTCAGCCAGTGAGCAAACCGGCCATCCCTATATAGGATCTGAACCCGTGGCCTTGGTGTTATCAGCACCGCACTCTACCGAGTGAGCCACGGGCCGGCCCTTGGATTGTATACTTTAAATGGGTGAATTATATCTCAGTAAAGTTATTAAAAAAAAAAGAAGAGAAGGAATCCTGAAGGATGGAGTCAATGGATAGCCACCACTCTTTAGAATTTAGCAACTTCTCAAAACTTGTCAGTAAGACAGTGAAGAGCTAAGCAGGTCTGAAGGAAGATTTTTGAGATGAGGGAGATCTGAATGTATCTTCAGGCAGAGCGGAGGAGACAATGAAGAATAAATTTCGAGACTTTCAGAACATAAGACTTTCCTACAAATAGCTTACAGGGAGACACATACCTAGTGGGTTTCTTCTGTAGTGAAATGAGCCTTCTGCAGAATAAGTAGGCTGGAACACACTTCCCAGCTGATGGGCAAGGACTTGATTTATATCTTTGAAAGATATCTGCTTGATATTCATCAATTTTGCACAGATCTTATGAACAGCATCATTCTCATGAATAAGCAGAGCATCTGAAGATCGGTACAAGTGAGAAAGAGTCAAAATGGAGTTGTAGTTCTGAACGATAACCTAGAGAGAAAAAGAGCAGAAATAAGAAAGGCAGGAGAGAATAGTAGTTAAGAGTGTAGGTTCTAAAGGCAACCTGCCTGGGTTCAAATCCTGGCTCTGTCACTTTCTAGCTATATGACCTTGGACAAGTTATTTAATCTCTCTATGCCTCGGTTTCCTCATTTGTTAAACGGGGATAATAAGTATACCTAATGACATAATGCAAGTAAAGCACCTAGAACAGTGCCTTGCACGTAGTAAGTGCACAACAAACACTGGCTATTACTATCATACTCCTTTCCTAAATCATTTCCTATAGTGACTTGTCTCACCTTCGTTTTGTTTTTTTTTTACAAGGCTGATTAACAGAAAATTGGCCTATGTAAAAATTTCCTCCCAAAGGAAAGAAATGAAAATTATTTGAAGATTAACAAGGCTGAAAGAAAATTGGCCTATGTAAAAATTTCCTCCCAAAGGAAAGAAATGAAAATTATTTGAAGATTGGCAATGTCATCAACCCCAACATGAGGTCAAGGTTCCTGCTTTACATACTGTAGCCAGAGGGACTAACCCAGAAATGGGCTCCTGAGAGAAGAAGCACAGTCATCTTCTTGGAATTTTTAAAGACAAAGACAACTTATTTGTTTGGAAAAATTTAAGCAAAGTTAAATGAATTGTTCATCAAAGTTCCACATTGTATAATCATTCTTGAAGCTGTCACTTAATGTTTCCAAATAAAGGGTAAGATTAATCTTCTAGCTACATTTACTTTGATTGCAAAAAATACAAAACATAAAATTTTCAATTAATATGTTCATACCTCACCAGTTCCATAAGGCCATATAATCTGATTCATTTTCAAAGAGTTTGAGTACTGATCTTGCAAATTCTGTGTAATGAAGGCTCCTAGCCCTGATCCTGTGCCCCCAGCCATACTCATTATGATGAAAAAACCACTCAAAGAGTCACATTTCTCTACTTCCTTCTGGATTATGTTCATTATAGATTCTTCATGCCTGGGTCCATGAACAGAGTAACTATGCAATGGTAAAAGAGACAAATACAAACTCCTTTCAATTTAATCAGAATGATGCAATACAGAGAAAAAGAAATAGGATAGAGAGGTCTTTTCAAAGCTATGGAACTAAAATAACTCTTATGAAAGGTATAAGTATCATGACTAACAAAATTTTAAATATGCAAGTTAAATATATTTAACAGGACTGCTAGAAGAGTAAGTTTATAGTATACAGAAAGTTCTCTTTAGCTGGAGCTTTCAGTTACCAGGTAGTTCTACAAATTCATGGTACAACATATTTAATGTTCATAACAGTAATCCTAAAATAGTAGCTCTGAAACTTTGCTGCACATGAAAGTCACCTGCGGAGCTTTCAAAAATCCCAACATCTGGCTTCACCCCAAACCATTAAATCAGAATTTCTGGAAGTCAGACATTGGGATTTCCCAGAGAACCCCAGGAAATTCTAATGTGCAGTAAAGTTTTGGAATTATTGTCTTGTAGTATTCCCTATAACTGGAATACCTGCCACATAAGGATACTATATTGATAACAAGTTAGTTCACAGCATGTTTGAAGAAGATGGAAGACCCTGCTGCAAGAGACCCTTGTTTTCATTATTTCCTGTACCCGAAGCACAGACATAGAGATAGGATAAGAGTTTCTTCTGGGTGAAGTCGAATTCTAAATTTTATTTATTTATTTGTTTTCATTCTTTTTTTGTGTTTTTAAATTCTAAATTTTAGAATAGTAATTTCAAGATTATGTGCTCAGTATATCAACTGTGCAGTTGTAACTACACTGTCTATTCACAGACTACTACATAGATGTAACTAAACTGAAAATCATGAGAAATTATTCTTTTTCACATTTTTTTTTTGGGGGGGTGCAGCTGGCCAATACAGAGATCAAATCCCGGACCTTATCAGTACCACGCTCTAAACAATTGAGCTAACCAGCTAGCCCTGGGAAATTACTCTTACCCATATGCCCAGTTGTTTCCAGAACCTTGTTTTTGACAGAAGCATGCATGCTGACCATATTTCCATCGGCCAGACTGAGCAGCCTTTGACAGTGTTTGATTGATAACCTTAGGTTCCATGTCAACAAGTACAGCCCGGGCAACTGGAACTAGAAAAATAAAAACAAAACAAAACATTTCGTATGTCTTTTTTTTTTGGTTTTTGGCTGGTATGGGTTTCCGAACCCTTGACCTTGGTGTTGTAACACCACGCTCTAACCAACTAAGCTAACTGGCCAGCCTCTCATATTTCTTATTTGGGTAACACAGCACAAACTTCTAGGTCCAGGAAAAAAAAAAAAAATCCAGGGGTTAGGGATAGAAAGATCTGTCATACTTCTTAGAAATCCAGGTGGGCATGGGCAGGTATATGCAGATGTTCATAGAGCTAAGCAGGATGAATCAGTGTGGGCTAAAATGATCAGGTGGGTCAGGTCTACAAACATCAGGGAAATACAGGGATGAAGACGGTGTCAAACTAGCCCCAGAAGGACTAGTGGGAGACAGAAAAACACATCAACACTTAATCACAGTATGACATGATAAAACCCACAACAAATCCACACCAAAGGAGCAGTATATTCAGAGGTACAGAATAGCACGGACACAACATGCAGCTCAGAATTGTTGGGGCAGAAGATGGGTAAGTAGGGGATAGAAAAAGTAATGGATGGAGATGAAAGGCAGGCAGGGCTAAGATCTTGGAAATCCTTACAGTCAATGCCAAAAAGTTTGAACTTTATCATATAGGCAATGATAAACCACTGAAAATTTTCAAGCAGGGTAGGAATACACAGATGTGAGAGCAGATGTGATAGACACAAGACTCCAGACAGGGAAATCTAGGAGCGACTTCAAATAGTCCAGGTGAGACAGGACAACAGCCAGAACTAAGACAATGACAGTTGAAGATGGAAAAGGGAGAACAGTTTGAAGAAATAAATGACAGGAGGTAAAATAAACAGATCTTGATGTTTGATGGTATGTTGGCGGTAAGAGAGCAAGTTGTAAAAGGAAAGATAATGAGTGCTTTGGGCATGGAGTTGAGTTTGAAACTTACATGGGAGATGCAGGTGGACATGTCCACTAATCAGTTGCATGAGAGTGACTGAAATTGCCCAGAGAGAACTATACAAATAAGGACAGAGGAGAGCCTGAGATGCAATCACTGGAGAAGAAAAGTTCAGTGAGTCAAGAGGAGTTTTAAGGAGGGAATTCTATAGTTAATATTATCAAATCCAGTAGAGACTTAAGTGAATTAGAAAAGAAAAACAGCAGTTGGATCTGGTAACCAGGAGGTCATTCGATACTTTTCTTAGAGCAGCTTCAGTGGTGTTGTGGGAGCATAAGCAGGATTCTAGTTAGTTAAGCAGAGTTCTTCTTTGAGAATCTTGGATGATAAGGCAAAGAGATAAGACGGAAGAAGAAAGCCAAGTCAAGAGATAAGTTTTGTTTTGTTTAGTTTTAGATTGGTGAGATTTGAGCATGCTCAGTTACTGAGGGGAGGATGCCACTGGAGAGACAAAAGTTGTTAACATAGAAACAAAGGGCTGAAGGCAAGTGAGATGGGAAGAAATGGGGTTCAGACACCATGTGGAGGGCCTGGCCTTGAGGAGGCTGGTTATGTCAGAGTAACCAGTGGAACACACATACCTCCATTTTCTTCCTCACTGAAGAATCTTTCTTTGCAAGATGCTTGATATGCCTCAGTATCTTTCCTAGAGCAGAGTACCTGGGAACAGTTTAAGTCGCTAAATAAGGCATCAAACACTTCAAAACCAATCTGATTGCCACACTGACCAAGTTGCACTGTTACTATTGACATGATGAGCCACAAACTAGGCCTATTCCCTCAAAAAAGTGAGCAACCTGTAATAGAAAAAACATAGGCTTTGAGAAAAAAATATAGGCTTTTTTCCCCACTACATTACTAATAAGAACAAATAAAATGTCATATGTGTTAATTATACACCAATAAAAAATAATTTTAAAATGCCATATATGTATATGGAGTTGTAAATGAAATAGCCACGTTGTCTAAGGAGCCAGTCATTCAAGGAAGTTCTTCTCTTACTCTACATGATTTTGGTATGTGTGATATACTGCATCCAAGTCCACTTAGACAGCTCAATAGTTTCCCAAATCTGATTTGTACTATTTTCCTAAGCATGCATTTACAGCAAGACAAAAGAAAACAAATGCTGGTTGAACGAATTAACGTACACACTTCACACCACATGGACACATAAAATGCAGACGTTAGCTCAACAATCGTACATTCAATCAGCATTAATTTTCTCTTTTCTCAATAATAACTTTCTTTCTCTCCACTAACCAAACCACCTTTCTGGCCTGATAACTTTACTAAGACTTATAAGAAAGGTTTTGTGTTTAGCTCAGGAAGGACAGCAAGAAAGATGAAGCTTAGAGAAAGAAGACCAGATGAAATGTCACCGCAGGTCTTCATCATTTTTAACAAAGAAAAGAGACAATTTTTGATAAAGACCTCACATCAGGTTTATGCAGTTCTGGAAATGAGCAGCGGCTTGTAAGCCAGATTCTATACTTACAATTTTAAACCTGCAAAGTAGGTGCTATTACCCTCATTTTACAGATAAAGAAACTGAAGCTCTGAAAGGTTATGTGACTTTCTCAAGGCCACCGAACTAGTAAACAGCAAGTCAAGACTTTCCCCACAGGCCCCAGGAGCCCCCCATTAAAGCCACTCACTGACAGTCCCCGAACCAGCAGTTTCTGTTCTGTTCAAACTTCAGAGGACCAACCCTCTCGCTACGCGCATGCTCAATTTCAACACTGAAAAGCTACCGAGGATAAACGCTCATATTCCGCAAGTGAAGAGTGTTGTGTATTTTTTTCCTTTTCAGAAAGGTTAATCACCCATGTTCAATTTCAATTTATCAACTTCGGATATGGTACGCATGCTCACTGTTGATCAAACGCTTTAGTTAATAATGCGCATGCTCAAATCTCCAAGCGCGCTTTCGGCTGGTGTTTTGCGCATGTTTCTGTCATACCTGGACCTGGCGATGGTTCTACGCATGTCCGTTGCCCATAGTTTGGCTTCATGGAACCGTGTACGCATGCTCTAGCGCTGAACTTGAGGAGCCGGTCTAGGGCCTAGGCGCAGACGCACTAAGCCTAAGCAGCCGGTGATGGCGGCGGTGGCGGCAGTGGCTGCGGCGGGTCCGGGCCCATGAGGCGACGACGGAGGCGGGACGGCTTTTACCCAGCGCCAGACTTCCGAGACAGGGAAGCTGAGGACATGGCAGGAGTGTTTGACATAGACCTGGACCAGCCAGAGGACGCGGGCTCTGAGGATGAGCTGGAGGAGGGGGTGAGGCCCGGGGTCCCGGGGGGCCCGAGGTGACAGGGCCAGGGCGGCGGCGCGGGTCCAGGAAGCCCGGCGTGTCCTAGAGTGCGGAGACCCTGGGGGGCGCGAGTAGTCTCCGGGAGGAGCTGAAACCCAGCGCGGCCAGAGGCGGGGGAGCGAGCGGGGCGGACCTGGCCCTAGGTGTGAGGCCTCTGCAGGGCTCGCAGGTGCAGGTCGCGCCCTTAGCCCCAGATCAGCGCAGCCCGAGCAATTTGTTTGAAGAGGGAAAGAGAAAGGGCGCGTGGTCGATTCAGCTGTTGGACTTGAGTGTGGCGGGGCGCGAGTGATGTGAGCGTGTGTTGGGGGTAAGGGGGACTGCGATCACTGGGTGTCCCGTAAGTACAGGTGAAGTGCAGAAGGGTTTCGAGTGTAAGATTTCAAGTTTTAAATCTTCAGACCTCCCACAACCACCTCTTTTCTCGGCCTGTCGCTTCTCTCCTAGGAAGCGCTCAGCTGTTAGAAGTGACAGCTGAAAACTTCTGTCGGGAGTAGCACTGCCGCTGCTGTTACAGCCACCAGGAGTTTTATTTCGGGAGCAAGGGGGCTCTGCTGCATCTTCCAGGGTTTGTTTGTTTGCTTTTTTTTTTTAAACCCCCTTCCGTGTGACTTTTTTTTAAAAAGTATTTATGATGACACACGGCATTTGTAACTTACTTTCTTCCAAGTTGAAGATGTCTGTATTTTTTCAGAATAATTTATGTAATTTTGGAGTGGAAAAAAAGTGTTGACAGCTGTGATTTGGATTGCCAAAAATAAATTGCTTGAACTGAGACTTGTGAATGGTGGTGTGAGGGCTTTCCTTGCTATAATTTAGGGTGCTGAATTTAGAATCGTTTTTTTCTAATGCACAGCTTGGTTTTACCTTTACTGTTTTAGTAGTTTGTTAGTCTTTGTGGAATATCATTCTTTCTTCAAGATAAACTTATTGAAAAATCACAGATTGCACCTGAAGTTCAAAAGTGGTATTGCCGTACTATATCACTGATTCTGGACAAATTATCATCAGTGATAGCTTCATGGTAATTTAGGTTCTAAATTTCATTGTCTAGATGAGTACGTGGATTAATGACTGATGTTTGCGATGTTTGCTCTAACTGCATAGGGGCTTCCCTTTCTTTCCCTCACCCCTCGTTTTTCTCCTCTGGCAAATAGATATCCCTTACTGTTGACAAAAAATTGAGATTCTGTGTATAAAGAACTTTGAACACTTTAAAAACTAAGTGGGCTGGGCCGGCCCGGTGGCGCACTGGATAGTGCCCCGCTTGGGAAGCGCGGCGGCGCTCCCGCCCGAGGGTTCGGATCCCACATACAGACCGGTTCCCGCTCACGGGCTGATCGGGGCACCGGAGCGTCTCCGAGGGGTGCGGTCCCGTTGCCGGTCCCCGGCCCGGTGCGGGGGCGACACTGAGGGTTGCGATCCGTTGCCGGACACGGAAAAAAAGACAAAAAAAAAAACAAAAAACAAAAAAAAACTAAGTGGGCTAGAGTAATAGTATTCTTTTCATAGCCAAATGAGACTAAATAAAAATCACACAGTTGAGAAGGTGGGTAGAGAGGTGCATTCTTTTCAAACTTTTTGTATGGAATTCCAGTTAACCTCTGAATGGAACATAGTGATAGACTAAATATGATTTGAAACAAATACGGGATTACTTTCATTACACATACCATATTTTCATCAATTACATTGATTGGTTCCATATGGCAGTGGCTTTGGAACAGGGCAAGGGAGAAAACTGGATAGGAAGGGTGTTTTATTAGCTGAACGGATAGAATTTCCAGACTGTGGGTTTATCGTCCTTTGAAAATACAATACTGTATTAAGATTTCTGTTCTAAACTGGGACCTCTTTTTTTGTCTGTGGTTGTTTTTTGTTTTGTTTTGTCTTTCTTGTTGTGTTTCAGGAATAGGTGTTCTGGGGCTTTTGTTTTGCTGGGTACAAACAAGTAGGATTTTGAGAGAGTGAGGACGTGGCCAGAGAAATTGGTGAAAATATAAAATAGAGATGTGGCCACAACCTCGAGGAGAGGAACGTTAGGGAAAGAGCAGAGTTAATTAAAGAGGATTTTGAGGAAGAGCCTTCAGTAAGATATATCTTACTTAGCAATACTTTTTGGAGATGAAAATGTTTCTTTAGAATGTGTTATTCTTAATAGGTGCCTCAAGGTGGACAAGGGAAGAGTTGGGGTGGGATTGGGTTGGCAACCCAAGAGATTCAGTGACATCCAGATTACCCTGAAATAAAAAAGTAAAAATAAAAAATTCTGAAAAATAAGAGAAGTTTAGATTCTTAGAAAATCTTCTTATATTTCCTGTTTGTGAATTTATAACCTTTAATTTATTACATGAACTTTTTTAACATTGCTGCATATCAGAGTAGCCTTACTTCTTCATTTTATAGTAAGGAAACTGAGGCATAGGCCAGAGAGATGATTGCCCAAGATTACATAGTGGTAGTGTCTTCTGAGTCAATTCAGTGAGCTTCATTGCACAGATTCTTTATTGCATTTACTGGTCTTGTTCATAATGTACTTCTTTGTGGTGTGTCAAAAGTGAATTCAAATCCCTTTGGCCATACTCACTGACTATGTGAGCAAATTGCTTAATCTCTCAGACACTTTCTTCTTGTCTGTAAAATGAGGGTACATTAAATAAAGTATATAACGTACTCTAAGAATATCCTGGCATTTTAAGCAATTAGCTAGTTCATAGAAATATAGCTTGTCAGTGTTACTCATTGACGAGGAACTGATCATTCAAGTTTACCCCTGTCTATGCCTAGAGACTTAATAATAAATGCAGTTACACTAGATGTGCTGTATTTTTAGAACTGTGTTAACATGGTTTTGTTTTTTTAAAAAAATCTATTTAGAGATATATGCCTTTTTGAGTGAATTCATATTAGTAAATATATGTATTTTCATAGGTTATTTAATTCTTCAGAGAGTAAAAGATGAGACTGAACTGGTACATTTATGTACAACGTCGAATGTCTGCTACCTAACTAAAAAAAGACTGATTGAATATCTCAGACGAATGTCTATTAAAGTCAGTGGGTAAGAGCGTTTTTTTGGGGGGAGCTCATGTCTTTTTTGTTTTTTGTTTCATCGGTGATGGCATCATTTGGGGCAGTTAGTTGAAATTAAGGGAAAGATTTCTTCCAGAGAATTTCATTAGATTATGAAAATGTTGGAATCTTCTCTGCTTTCTGTATCATTAAAAGAGTAGTAGAAAACTGTAATGCAATTTTTAAAATTCTTACTTTTTACTCTACTAATTCAAAATTTTGAAATAATCGGGCTTACTGCACAAGTTTTAGATTGAAACATCAGATTTTTATTGAGCATGAAGTTTTAAAATGTTTGAAAAACAAAGTGCTATATAGATGGTATGTACTGAAATATTCATGATTATGAAAAATTATAGAAAAAAATCTCATTATCAATACTTATCTTGCCTTGTAATATATACTTACCAAAAGTGGCAACAATTTTTTTTTTTTTTTAAAGACGACCGGTAAGGGGATCTTAACCCTTGACTTGGTGTTGTCAGCACCACGCTCACGCAGTGAGCAAACTGGCCATCCGTATATGGGATCCGAACCCACAGCCTTGGTGTTATCAGCACCGCACTCTCCCGAGTGAGCCACACCGCACTCTCCCGAGTGAGCCATAGGCCGGCCCCTCATCTGAGTTATTGAATCTTATAAGGAAACATTAGTGAAGAGCCAGGCAAGGGGATAATTGATTTAATAAATATCAGGATTAAAGATAATTTCACCCATAGTGGAACAATTTATTTAGATTTTTATAAAATGTGCTTTCTTTCATTGGGACTTTAGGCTTATTAACTTGAATTTATATACATTTTTAATTTAAAATTTTGCAAATAGTCATTCTGGTGGGCTAGTTTGAAACAGTGTATCTTTGTATAGTACCTTAGATGAGCAGGGTTCCACTTTATCAGTCATGGTGACACACAGAAAAGGCATTGGATGGGTTATAAATCTTAAAGCAGCAGAAAAAAGTTTCCTGTGAAAGAAAGTTGTCAGTATGTACATGTTAGCTTGATGCTTCCGGTGTGAGACTTTTCCAAAGGTAACACTCAGTAGCAGAGAAGAGTTGTGCCTCAAATGCTTCTGTTCCAGACATAACGGTAGGAAGTCAAAAGTACAGATGCAGGTGTCATTACAGGCCTGGCCAGCTCCAGAAATGAGACATAGCCATAGGGCATATCTTGTGAGGTGTGCTTCAAAGCCATGGTTCAATGTTAACTACTTTGTGGTCTTTAATTTAGAATTAAGCAAAACTAACATTAAAGAAAAAATAATTATGTAGTGCCAGTTTTATCACGTCTTAGAGAAGTTAGTCTTTTGTCTTTAAGTGAAGCCATCACATGGAGCAACAGAGACAAAACAAAAACAAAAAAGTTTAACCATAACTGTCCCCACTCCTCACACACAGAAGAAACTGTATCAGTTGAAATTGTGAGAATCCTTTTTTTTTTTACCTTGA